GGATGGAAAAGGGTGGAATGGGAAAGGGAAGCAATGGGAAAGGGGGGAGCAGTGGGATGGGAAAGGGTGGAATGGGATGGGAAGGGGAGCAGTGGGATTGGAAAGCGGAGCAGTGAAATGGGAAGGGGGACAAAAAGGGGGAGCAGTGGGATGGGAAAGGGAGAAACGGGAATGGAAAAAGGGAGCAGAGGGATGGGAAAAGGGTGGAATGGGAAAGGAGAGCAGTGGGAAAGGGGGAGCACTGGGATGGGAAAAGGGACAGAAAGGGGGAGCAGAGGGATGGGAAAGGGTGGAATGGGAAAGGGGAGCAGTAGGAAACGGGGAGCAGTGGGATGGGAAATGGGGAGCAGCAAAATGGGAAAGGGAAACAGTGGGATGGGAAGGGGAGCACTGGGATGGGAAGGGGTGGAATAGGATGGGAAGGGGAGAAGTGGAATGGGAAAGTGGAGCAGCAAAATGGGAAAAGGGAGCAGTGGGATGGAAAAGGAGGAGCAGAGGGATGGGAGAGGGTGGAATGGGATAGGAAGGGGAGCAGTGGGTTGGGACGGGGTGGAATCGGGAACAGATTTTTACTTTGGTGCTATTTCTTTTAAAAACAACAAAAAAAAAACCAACAAAAAACTTCAGGTCATTTTTATCCCATATATGAAGCCAAGCCTGGAATTGTATTTCTCCAAATGCAAAAGTCTCTTAAATACAGTGGTGTCACCCTCCAGCTGATTAAATCCTCGGCAGCTCAGAGCTGCCTGTTCCTCTGGAATATTTCCCTAATGAATGTGGCTCCTTTTAACGTCCTGTTTTGTATAAAGTTGGACAACAAGCCAAGAATATTTACTGGGCAATGCTTTTCATCCCTCCTAAATTGCATTATCATTAAACAAGTCATTGCCCCCATCCTGCTTTTATCCAAGACATGGAATTTGAAGCTACCAAACCGTTCAGATCTTTGGGGTTCCAACCTCAAATTTAATTAAATATATCATGTGACACCTTTTGGTGTTGTTTTGTTGGTTTTTTTTAATTTTCAGTTCTTGGTGTAAAACCAAAATCATATAAATTAAGGTTAAACTTTTAAAAGAAATTCAAACTTAGTTTCTCCACCTTTAGATCCCTAAAAAGCTTGATGGACTATGGACCAGCAACTGGGTTTTCTTTTTTTTTTTTTAATGTTTATATCAAAAATAACTTTATTCAAGAGTATTTCTGTGTGTGTGTGTGAGCACAGGCACCATTCCTATTACTTTTAATAGTTAATCAAACAAATCAAGGGGTGAATATGCCCTTAAACACTGAAGTTTGTACCTACAGAAAATCCTATGAGCAAAAAAACACCTCCAAAAGGGAGCTTTACATGATGACCATGCCAGGAAAACCACCAACAGAACAAGGAAAACCACAATAAAAATTAGATATTTTCTATATTTTAAGGATTAGAATTTCCTGTGCAAAGTTTTTAGGGTGGAAAAGTCTGTTCTGATCATCACTGTCTGTTATTTCCTTGCTCAGATCGCAGTTAAACATTGATTATGGGGATTATATGCTGTGTATTGAGACCAAAAAAAATTGATAATTAGAGTTAATAATTAGATATTAACTCTAAACACATCCATAAGCAACTTTACTGACAGGAATAGTTGTTTGCACACTTAAATGCTTTCAAAATAAACTTAATTGTGAAGATTACATGACTGTGTGGCAAATAAGCATCACCAAAATAAACACTCATAAGAGAAATACTTATAGAAGATGTGGAAAATGAGAAGTGGGAAGTTCTACCATGAAAATACTTTACTTCTATCATTAAAATATTCAACTAAAGGCCAGAAAATAAAACAATCCCCCTTTAGTCTTCCTGGCATATTGCAGGATCCTGAATTTCCACACTGCAATGATTCCCCCTATAAATCTTATTCATTTGAACTGAATTTACACACAACCATTTGTCTGTGTCTTAAAAACTGAGAAAAAAGGAAAAAAAAAAACCCACATATTTTTTTGCAGCTGCAGCTGCAGGAAATTTCAGGTGTTCTCATGCACGTGGCCACACTTCCCATTTTCAGAGGGAAGCAACTTCCAACTCATTTAGGGATAAATTTGGAAATGCACATATGATCAACTTCATTCCTTGATTAACTTCATTCCTTGAATAAGTGAGGGGGAACTGACTGCAGAATCAGGCCCTTACTAGGGAAATAAATAGATATTTGGACGTGAAAAAAATCCCTGTTATTTATCCCCCTAATCAAAGAAGGTTCCTAAGGGTTCTCGTGTCCACCTTAGTAAGCACATGCCTAAAATTCACATTCCTCACATAAAAATCCTCCCGAAAAAGCAGTTGCTCGAAAAGCTTAATAGCCACATTTTCAAGTTTCACCTCCTCAACTGTTTTACATTAAAAAAATATACACAATTTCATGGGCTACTGACTTGCCAAATATTCTTTTACAAACCCGCTCCGTTTTTTAATTAGAACAGCAAAAAAAAGCATCTTAAACTTGCAATCGTGTGTTTGCTCCCAGTTCAGGAAGGAATTTTTTTGCCCAAATCATACAGAATGTCCAGGCTCCAACTTCCCTCCCCACCCTCTGACACTTCCATGAGGGTTATTTGAAATTCTGCCCCCCATCACTCTGATTTAAGGTCATAAAATACACGAATGTCGAGCCCCTCATGAGTTCCCCAACGTGGGGAGGACTCTGCAACACAAGAGCTTCTCTTTCAATCCTCTCTTCAAAGGTACATTTAAAATAGAGATAAAATATGCAAAGGATGTTCTATTAATCATGGCAGTCAACATTTTCCAGGGGAGATGAGGAAGTGAAAAATCAGAGTATTTCCACACATGCAAAACCTTCCCAAGTCCCTAAAAAAAAGTGTCAGGAGAATTGGCTTAAAACAGCTTATAAAAATGGGAGAGAGAATGAGTCCCAGCCTATTATTCAATAACCATGTTTGTGAGGCATCTGCATAATCTAACCATGCATAAATTAGTATGTGTATTACAACAGTTATTTGCATAATAATAGCAAGTTAATAGATGCTTAAAGAGCACAGACCAACACCACCTTTAAATCAGACATTGCCTCCAGGCACTGGGATCTGTACAGACCAAGATGCAGAAAACAGTCTTCATAAAACATATGAAAACATCAAAACCACATCCAAATAATTCATTTTAGTCCCTGGACACTTCACTTTTTCTCCCCCTCTCTCCCAGGAAAGAATAATTTGAGGAGCTGCTGAGCAGTTTGTTACTGTGAATTCTAACATCCATCTCAAGAATTTAAAGTAATCGTCAAACCTAGTTCTGGAGTGGTTGTTTTGTTCAGAGTTTCATGGTTTTTCAAGCAGACAAAGTAAAATATTCCGTGGTGGTTCAGGGCTCAGCATCAGCCCAACCTTTGCCACCGGAGATGGGAAGAGTTTAACCACCAACTTCAGGTGGAAAGTCAGAAAAACGCCAGTATCTAAATAAAATACTAATATAAGTCCTCTTAAAATGGAATATCCAGAGCTCCCTTAGGTGTCCCATTCACATTACATTTCTGAGAAGATTTTAGAACATTGTGCCACCACTCAGAATTGGAATTAAAAATTACATTATAAAAAAGAGGAGCAGAGACACCTTTCTGCTTAAATAAAGGTGTTGTTGTACATACCGGATTATTTTTTAACCCCACAACAAAACCATCATTAACATCATCATAATTTTCATTGTCTCCAGGGAAAGAAAATGTAGAGTTTGGAGAAGAGGGAGGGGAAAAAAAAAATCAATAGAGACTTCTAAATGACTCCTTCCAGATACCACTTTTCAATTTAACAGGACAGATTTATTTGTATGTGGCTCAAATGTTCACAATTGCTCTCTGCACCTTCATACATAGGAATGAATGTCACAGTGGCAAACAGCAGTAATGAACAATCTTACCTGAGGATATGGAAACCTCCCAAGAGCAAGCTGGGAAAGGAAATAATATTTGTCTAGTTATAGAGATTTGCATGGAGGGCACATTTCCTTAAAGAGAGGGAAAAAAAAAGTACTCAACTCTTCCCATTGTATGAACTGGGAGATGGCAGGGGAAGGGATTGTGCAGGCACACAAAGAGCTGTATTTAGAATGGATTGTTCACCACAGTCACCCCTCGCTCCACCCAGGGGTTTCTGAGCTTCCCCAGCCCTTTTGTCACCACTCAGTGACTCTGTTTGATGCCCAAGTTCCCCAGGACTGGAAATGAAACCAGTTCAGCCTCGCCAGCGAGGTCGACGCCGCCGACCTTTGCTGCTGCTGATCTGCAGGGAGCAGGGATTGTGAAGCAGCACCAACTCGAGAGTCCTCCCTTAACTGGCTCAGGGTAAAATCTGGGTTACAGAGCCCAGCTTTGTGGCCCTCTTGGTGTCAAACCCAGGGTGGGATCTGTAGAGAGACCACGGCACCCGCAAGGAGACACCTCGTCTTTCCTTCACGTCTCCTTTTGATCGCCCACGGTATCAACTGCTGTTCTTGCCCCTGCTGTTGTAGAAGTCAATCAGTGCTTTACAGAGTAGTCCCAAACCCAACATTCTTGCTTATATTGTGTAAAGAATATTCTACTGGCCACAGCTTATAAATATTCCAAGATAAATTCTTTGTACTAGACAGGTTCTCCCATTTGAGAATGGTCTCCCATATCTGAAACTTGGACACAATCTCAGCAAAATGTAAGTCGTTGAAGTTATTTTGGCTGCTATTCAGGGAAGGACAAGGTTTTTCAGGGTTAGAATCATAGAATCATTTAGGGTAGAAAAGCCTTCTAAGCCTTCAAGTCCTATCATTCCTCCAGCACTGCCAAGGCCACCATTAATCCATGTTCCCAAGTGCCACATCCACAGGGCTTTTAAATCCCCCCAGGGATGGGGACTCCACCACTGCCCTGGGCAGCTGTGCCAGGGCTGGACAGTCCTTTCCAGGAAGAAATTTCCCCCAATATCCAACCTAAACCTCCCCTGGCACAGCCTGAGGTGATACAGGGCACTCAGAGCAGCTCTGTTCTGACCGTCTGGATGCCCCCACCTCTCTCAACAGTCTCCAGAGGAGCCCTGAGCTTCTCCACGCCCACTTAACCTTCATGATTCCTTCCCTCTCCAGCCTTTAGAGGGAGGTCTCCCACAAAGGTTATGGAAGCACTGCCATCACTGATCTCCCAGTGGGACAAACAAGTTTTACTCCCATCAGACCCAGCGACACCAAAGGTCTGAGCCATTGTGTCCAAAGGCCACGTCACCGGTCAGTGCTGGGCAAAAGTTGCTCCCCATCCCTGCAGTGCCAGTGATCCCTGAGCCCCTCAGTGCCAGGGTGACCTGGCCCCAGCTGTGCCCAGCCCTGATGAGACAATTTATTTGGGAACTACTCTTAAACAAAGCTTTTGCAATATTGAATTCAATGTATTTGTCCAGAGGAGACCATGGAGATGCTCCAAGGGCTGGAGCCCCTCTGCTCTGGAGCCAGGCTGGGAGAGCTGGGGGGGGTTCACCTGGAGAAGGGAGGGCTCCAGGGAGAGCTGAGAGCCCCTTCCAGGGCCTAAAGGGGCTCCAGGAGAGCTGGAGAGGGACTGGGGACAAGGGATGGAGGGACAGAACACAGGGAATGGCTTCCCACTGCCAGAGGGCAGGGTTAGATGGGATATTGGGAAGGAATTCTTCCCTGTGAGGGTGGGGAGGCCCTGGCCCAGGTTGCCCAGAGAAGCTGTGGCTGCCCCTGGATCCCTGGAATTGTCCAAGGCCAGGTTGGATGGGGCTTGGAGCAACGTGGGCTAGTGGAAGGTGTCCCTGTCCATGGCAGAACAAGATGATCTTGAAGGTCCCTTCCAGCCCAAACCATTCTGGAATTCTATGATCATTCTCATCTCAGAAAAGTCACTCTGGTCACTCTTATGGCAGGCTCTGAAAAATCCTACTAATAGTTAAGCAGAGACCCTAAATTTTCTGTTACACTCGGTCTTATAAACCAGGAGACACTAAAACTAAAACCCTTTATCATCTTCTCTTCTTTTGGGAGGACCATCCTTATGTTCCAAGCAGCTGTTTGAGGTCCCAAAAAGCCCTGCTGCTGCAATAGCCTATAGATGCCTAGAAAGAAAACTATAAATGCCCAGCATTTTTCCATACACAGAAGTAGAATAAGACCTGATTTATCCAAGAACTACTGGCTCAAGAACAGTGAGGGAATGTAACAGTTATCCTACTGCAAACCAAGAGGATAATGATGGTTGTATGCACACAGCATCATCCTGCAGATGTTATTAAAGCACAAAAACAACCTCAAAGGTGACTTCAAACTAAGCATTCCCATTCCCACCCACGATCCCTTTCCCTGGCCACACCACACCTTTGGAGCAGGGGCTCCAAAGGCAGCAGAATAACTGGGGAAAGAGGAGTTTCCTGCCAGACTGAAGTACAGGGTGTATAAATGAGCTTGGAAGGATCCAAAATGCACCAGCAGCAAGTTTTTGGGGGTTGTTTAAAGGAAACACTTTTCTCTGTGAAGCTGCTCCTGGGCTGAGGAGCCAGTTCTGCATCCCCTGAACGAGCACTCGATTCATCTCCTCACACTTGTTTCCTCCCTGCAAGATTGTCAAGGTATTATAAATTGAGAAACTTAGCAAAGAGTCTGTAATCTTCCCTGAAATAGCCTGCAGATATGTCACTGTACTAAATGTGTTTCAGATTTAATGAAGCTTTAATGTCCTTTTTAATTTTGCCTGTTTCTGTATCACCAGGGGTCGAGCGAGGCAATCAGCACTCGAGAGGGTGGTTTGGTTTAAAACTAGGAAAAAACTCATTTGCTTATGAGTTGCACTGTATTTTCTTAATTAAATTTACTAAGCAAGATGGTTTAAATTCAGCCAACCAATGACCTCTGTATGTAGACTCAGATTTATAAATAGTGTCATAGTTAAAGAAAAAAAAAATCCCCCAAAACAAACAGATTAGAGCTTCACTAAAGGGATTTTCAAACCCTGTCACGTGTCCAAGCAAGTCATACAACCATAGGAGGCACAAGTCCAGTGTAGGACAGAAAAAACATAAACTTCCAAAGTAACACACTTCTCTGCTCTGCATTTACATGATGACACTCCAAGACTTGCCTTTTTTTTTAAGGTAACATCACAAAAATACAATATTTCCACTCACACTAGTTGGGTTTGGGAACTGCTCAGCATTTTATGGCACTCTGGAGAGAAGGGAATGGTTGAACTTCAAGGAGCTGGTTCCCACTTCCCTATAGATTCCTCCCAGATGGTTGGACTGGGTGATCTTGGAGGTCTTTTCCAACTCAAATGATTCTATGGTTTCATTCCTACTACACAAGACTTGTAAAAACCATAATTTTCAAACGGCCCAGGGAATTGGAAGGGTAGGATGGTGTGGAAACAGGAATGAGAATGAGATTAATCAGCAAGAAACATCCAGAATAACACTTTCCCATCCCATTTTGCTTTGGAGCAGTTACATGGAGGAGGTTTTTTGGCACTGTGTGTGTTTTTTAAAGGAATTACTTTCTTAAACATAGAAGTAGCTCATGAGAGCACTTAAAACACTCCTGGTGCTCAGTCAGCATCCTGAGAAAGAACCTTCTGCCAGACTTGGACAGAGGATGGATGGATGGATCATCAGATTTTAAACCAGTACTTGACAAACTAAGAAATAATCCCAGATTATGAAATAACAGCTTGGATGTTGATTTTTATCAAACTATCAAATTTTAAAAAAAATCAAAATACTAAACTATTACGTGTTTATTAAAAAAAACCAGGAGGAAAGCAAAAAGAACCATAAAGCCTCTGGAATGAGCTCCCATAAGCAGAGCTGGAAAACAACTAAAACCTGTTCTCAAGTACATTTACTGTGCAGAAAAGTGAACACAAAATTAAAATGACTTGTTGAACTAATGTAATTTACCATTTTGGAAATGGAAAGGGAAATACAGAGATCCTCCTTGCCTGCTGTATATTGTGAATAAAATTACAACAACTCGCTCCGCATCCTGTTTGCAAAGTGTCTGAGGGAAGGAAGTTCAAACCATATTTTTAGGACACTCAGGCAATAAAGTTTCCCACTTAGATGATTGTGGATGTTGTGCAAGTTGTTTTTTAATTTACAGTTCCACTGGAAAGCCCGGGATGCTTTTATTCTTAATTTAGACACATTCCATGTTTCTCGGCATAACTGCAAATTGAAAATAAGCACTTCCAATATCGCCGGTGATGGAGCTGAAGGAGGGGCTTTTATGGGCTGAAATGTTCGAAAATTTGTTCTTAATTACCTCGTGCACATTTTTACACAATTAAATTTCCATCCAAGGATTTTGCATTTAGATGGTGCACTGCAGTTAAACCCTCGTTCTGTGGAAAAGCAGCCGCCACTTCGGAACATCCAGACACGGGGAAACTTTAAAAATCAGACTTAACTACTGGATAACATAAAATTCCCTGGGTGAAATTTCATTCCAAGACCAATTTCTACGTTCCTAGATAGACGGGCTTAAAAATCACCTGAAACTCTGCAGGGTATGGACCTTAATAAATATTAAATACCTCAAAAACTACCAGAAGATTTTTTTCTTGCCTTCTAATATCAATTTTCCCCGTCCTCTTATTGCACAGTTAAAAAAAAAAAAAAGAAAAAAAAAAGAATCCAAAAGGATATAACAGCAATTTACCAGCGTTAAAGTGCTTCTGAGGTTAAACTGCCAACAAAGAGGAGCAGGAACACAAAGCATCTTGAAGTAGGGTTTCAATTAAATGTGCAGGATTTAGTAATGCAGGCCAGGAAAAAAAAAAAAAAAAGAGTTACAAATTAATTTAATCTTCTGCCTATAGTTTGCAGCTGCACTCCAAAGTGTCTGGGGCTTAAAGAACAAAGCCTTGCAAGGCCTGGGAGTGGGGAAAGCTTCAATTTTTAATGTATAAGGCCATTAGC